CATGGTGTTCGGCGGCGTGGTGCCCTACATTCCCCAGTACAGAGACATCCGGCGGACGCAGAACGCAGAGGGCTTTTCCACCTACGTCTGCCTGGTATTACTGGTCGCAAACATCCTGCGGATACTTTTTTGGTAAGCTGGTTTTGTGTGTCTGTGTCTGCCCGTTACTAAAGGTTCTTACGGCCTTGCTAGTTGTAATTTGATTTGGAATATTTGAGGAAATGATGTATTTTCCATACCTTTCCCCCTCTCTTGAAGATCGCAATCCTGCCTTTCCTTGAGTGGGTCAGTCTGTGTTGAGTAAAATGAACTGGGCACAGGAGCGCTGTCTGTTGCCCTTGCCAGATCCGATTATCAGTGCTCTGATGTTCCAAGATGCATCTTTTTAACTTAGTAAAGGAAAGAGATTCTAAGTCAGATCTTTTTTTTTGCTGACTGTTTTTTACATTTCCCTTGCCTCTCTAGCTCCCTTCTCAGAGTGAAGGCCCTGGTCCCACACACTTAATCTAGTTGGTATTAACATCACTGGGACACTTGCCATATGTTCTTGCATTTTCCTGGGATGCCAGCTGGCTTCAGAGGGGGTTCACTTTTAGAACTCCATGCGCAACTACAGATGAAGATATTCATTCTTTGATAAGCAGGCAAAAGGTGGGCTGGTGGGTGGGTGCTTTCAGAGCAAATTCTTCTTGTTTTCTGCACCACTTTCAATGTTTAAAAGCAAGTTTGTTTCTATATTTAGGTTTTGTGCTGCTGGACAAAGAAAATGTTATTAGGGTGTGATTTCCCTGAATGAATTTTATTAACTTACATTCCTCATAACTTCTTAGAATATAGGTGCTGCAACACTGGGAATATACTTGAGAAACCAAAGATTAAACAGTTTGGGAAATTACTGCAACTAGGAACAGCTATTCTCAGAATATCCTGACTACAGACTACTGCATTGTAGTCCACAAAGAACTGATAGGTAACAGGCTACATCTTTTTGTTGGTTTCCAGTTTCTTTGTAAACCTTCTCCAAATCTTTAAGCATACGGACCTTCCTGGATTCTTCTACAGCAAAATGCAATGTGTAAGTGCTGTGCTGGAGTGGAGGAAACAGGGGACCCTCTCTTGGGACCACAGCTGGCAGTCAAACTGAGGAGTTGTCACTAGCTCAGAGCTACGTGTTGCACTGGACCTATGTTTTCCTGGGGAGAATTGTATGGAGCAGCTGTTGGAAAAAGCAGAGAGCAGAAGGGAAATAGAGGAGCTGGCAGGCGAAGGAGAGGTGAAAAGCCTGAGCTGATAGTTTGAGAAATAGAAATTGTCTCATTTTTTGTTTCACTGGGAAGTAGTTGACATATACAAATGATTTGTACCTGTGTAGGCTCTGGTCATCTTGGAGCTTGGTGATGGCATGGAATGGCTTCACACGAGATGTGTATAGGTGTGTCTGGCTGCAGGGCGAGCGTAAGGCAAGCTGCTGGCTTGTGGTACAGCCACTTCAGTGGGGAAATGCTGCAGGCATGAGCCTGCAGAAACCTTTCTGTCTGTACTTAAAATGAGTTGTCTCTTTCTGGTTCTATTGAACTGAAAGACAGGAAAGAAGACTTGCATAATGATAATTCAGTGTTCCCTGAGAGATAATATTTTGCTTCTCTACTTGTAAAGATTAGGCATCCCTGGTAGCTCATTATAAATACCCGTAAGTCATGAAAGCAGCATTGAGAGTGGATATTATCCTTGGGCATATGGATGATTAAAGGAAGATAGCAGAGCAAGAGCCTCTGATTTCTGTGAACATGTTTAAAATGCACCCATAGGGCAGTTTTGCAATTCAATTTTTGCATTAGTTGTTTAATGTCACCTATGGCTGATGTATTATCTGGGACACAGCACTAGATAATTTGACATAATGAGCAGAATTGTTTTAATTGTGTATGTAGTATTCATTGGACAGAATTAGAAGGTGTCTGTATGTTTTGTTTCAAACTTGTTGAATAATTTTGTCTATTCTTGTGCTGGAACAGAACTGCTCCTACAAGTAATTTTGTTTTGTGTATAATTTTTTCCCAATCTGACTTTCAAAGTACCAGTTGATAAGATTAGTCCTCTTCCCCTTTAGCAAACCAGTCCAGACCTTAATCTAGGTGTCTCTTTTGAAAACTTTACTGACATGTAGCTGCTGTTTTCAATTGTTTTAGTTTCTCTTCATTACCTTGGTTATTAAGCATATGATTTGTGCCAGATTCACCCCTCCTGACTTCCCCTCCACCCTGATCCAAAAATAAGTACTTAAAGTGGTAGACCTTAAAACCTTTCAAGTTCTAATGGTGTTGCTTTTCAGGCCTTAATTATTTATTAGAATGGCTCTATATTTTTTTTTTTTAATTAAACCGACTTCAAAGGCATTTCTGTAATTAGTTTCTGTTGTTACATCCACATTTTCCCTGAATTTCTTATATTCTTGAATTTGAAGCTTACAGAGTGTAATGTTATGTATTTCAGATGCATTGGCAACAGGAACTGACAGTTCCTACCTTTTATGCCATGTTTCTTCTGTACTGTCACTCTTGAGTAGCAGCTGGTCTTTCTGTATCTGTCACTTGTAACAGACCCAGTCCCACCTATCCCCTATGGCTCTACTGTACTTTGTTCACCTCAGCTGTGGGGGCAATCCCCTCATTTCCTACTTGTGAATTGGCAGATTCCACGTGTTCCTAGAACTGTACATTCTTATCTCTGAGCTTTTTTTCGTTTTTGTTGTTTGTTTTTTTTTTTATGGTAATATCTGGTTTTGCAGTGGGTGAAGTTTGACTTTCCATCTCCCCTCCAAATAGAGTATTTAGTTCCTAATCTTTTTGGCATGTTTTATGTATCAATAGAGTTGCAGCTGGTGTATTGCACCGTGACAATAGCCAATGAACAAGTAGCACTGCTGAGATCAAGGATAACAATTCTGTTTCTAGTTTCTAGTTACCTGTTCACAGTTTTTCTTCCTCCAGTTAGACTGTCTCCAATGGTAAGCCATCTTTTGAAGTCAAGAGGGCTCAGCGCAATGCCTCTTCTCCTTGTCTTCCTCCCACCTAATCCCTTAGTTTCAGGGTGTGCTCAAAGAACTTCTGTTTGCTAGTGATGACAGTAACACATTATCCATTAAGTCATTCTCCATGCTTCTCTGTTTCATAGTGTCTCAAAATGTCATCTTTAAAGAGACGTTTATGCATTCACTTATGTGTGTTTGGCCTTGCTCTGTTCCAGTAATGAATTATATGCCAGAACTTCGTGGAAAAGCAGTGGGAGAGGACTGGTCTGCAAGAATAAAAACTGCATATGAATAGCAATGGGCATGATTCCACTTTGCTTTGTTTATGCACACATGGCTTTTGTTTAGGAAAAAGAAAGTAGAAGTTTGACATACAAACTTGTGGTTCAGTTTGTTGACTGTATGTGAAGTCGTTAGCCCTTTTAAAGAAGATTCTGAAAAAAAAATTTTTTTGAAAAGCAGGCAGTCCGTGCTCACAGCATCACACAATGGCGTCTCTGTTTACCAGTGTGAAAAGTAGATTTTGTGCTGTGACTAGCCTTGATATCAAGTTAGCTTTATTTTTAGTAACAATCTATTGTTATAATTTTATATAACGCTTCAAAGCAGTGTTTATTTTGGGGTGCCAGTGTAGCTGCTGATCATGATTTATGGTTTATATCAGCTGCTCCTTTGTTCCAGTTCTTCTGCCACTGTCAGTACTGCTTGTCCCGTCTGTCTTCTCCAGACCCCATAGGTCATTATTTCTCTCTCTCCGCTCAGTTTAACTTCCGGACTGGTCAGCCCAGAGAAGGTCTGCAGTGTGGGCAAAGAGGAAGAGGCAGTGCAAAACTCAATGCCATTGTAATTCTGGTACATATGAGGATGCATGGTATGCTCCAGAAAATCTGATATCAATTTTTTTTCCCTCTGCAGTTTTAATAAAACACTTCATTACCATTTTTGTTAGCTAATGTCTTACTGTACTTGCTAGAGTTAGCTCTGATTTCTTGTTCAAGACTGGTTGTTAAAATATCCAAGAGATACTCTGAGTCTTACTGATGCTTGAGCTTTGAGGTGGTTAATCATCTGCTTAAGCTGTCCTAGGCTGTTTTGAAGTTGTTGGCCGTCTTCAGAGTGCACCGTAGCACTTCAACTCAGTTGTGACCAATACGGACGTACCTGCTTGGTTCATGTGGCCTGCAGTTGGCCAGCCGGCTGGCTTTGCATTGTCATCATCAAGAACGGGAACAAGAAGGCGGGTGAGAGTTGTGTAATCAGTTGGGGGTGGAGGATGCAGAAAAACTTACTTGTGAGTTCTCCCTCTCTTCCCCCTCTCTCTCTTCCCCCTTTTTTTAAAACAGAGCTTATGATGAGATAAATTATGGTTTCTGTTAATATTAAAATTGGAATAAATAGCTAGAGGAAAGGGAACTGCAGATTTCTTGGAAGTTAGCAGTAGGCATTTTTATTTGTATCTAGAGTAAGTTCAGCCAAAAGTACTTATGCTCCCTGCTATTCCCAGAGGTTTTTAGACCTTTTTTCAGTTTTGCAGTCCAGAAAATGTTGTATGTAATAGTATATTACAGTTTGTATATTTTCCAGGAAGACAGTATTCTTTGCAAAGGTTTTGAGATGCGATTATGTGGGCCACTGGCCTAAACCTCATACGGCAACACCATAGAAATCCAAACAACAGAAAATAAAACCATCCAATTTTAGAGTTGTTCTCACAAAATAGTTGCCTTAAGACAAACTGTGGAAACAAGTTCTGACAGTCAGGGAAAAGGTGAAAACTGTGGAGTGTGTTATTTTTTTGTAAAGGTAGCCCTCGACCCATTTCGCATCAGTTCACTTGAAACAAAGCGGGTTCTGAAAACCGTAATGTCAGTAGAACTGGGAGCTCTCTGTGCCAGTCAGTGGGATAAGCTCCCTGTTATGACTAGAGGTTTACTGGGACAAGTATGCAGCTGGACGTAATTTATAGGAAAATGTGGGACTTGCTGTTATCTTGGGGTAGATTCCTACATATTTATTTATTCTGCTGTAATACCTACAGTGCTACTTGTGGATCAGGTCCCTGCTGTCAGGTGTTGCTTTGGCTTCGGATAGTGGATCAGTGATGTCTGTCTGTAGGACTTCTTGTGGGAAGGAGAAACTTCTGCTTTTAAGACTTCTGTTATTAAAATGAATCTTGCCAGCTTTTCCCACGTGGGGAAGGTGGGATGGTGCTATAAACCAAGCTGGCAGAGTGACTACAACTTTGAAAGATTGCATTACATATGGCCTGCTAGTGGAATCTTGCTCAGATATCGAGAGCAAAAGTGTTATGCAATTCCTCCTCCTTTTTATAAATACCAGAAAGCATGGATAAAATGCGCTGCTCTTTTGTATAAGAAGCAAAGGTAAAGTGGGATTTGTATGTCCAAGTAAGAAGCTTGTTGTGTGTGATCCATAAAGTCCTGGAAGTTTATGTGTGAAGCAGAAACTCTCATATTGCGAGATCCTGTTGTAAAACTAGTTTGTTTCTTGTTCTTCCTGCCGATTAAACTCTGTAATTGTGTGGGCTGTCTTTCAAGGCAGCTGCCACGCTGCTACACCAGGTTATCTGTCACGGCCACGGTGGTGTGTGCAGTATCCCGCATGCTTTCCATCTTGCCTAGAATCTGTAACTTCCCAAAGAGCTGGAAAAGTCAACCCAGAGTGGTGAGGCCTGTAGTAATTTTGGTGGCTTCTCCACTCTTGCGGTGAGTGGAATGGCCTCTTGTGTGGCCTGCCCACATACGGGCAGGGAACAGCAGCCGGCGGGTGGCAGCTGAAACTGCATCCGGCAGCGTAGGAGGAAATGGTGTGGTCAGGGTGATGGTGATCTGGTGGTACCAACAGCAACCCATTTCTTTTCACAGACATACTAGGAAAAGCGATAAGCAAACCTGTTGTGTTTGGTCTAGTTTGGGCTGCTTTTGCACAATCGGCGTTTGCTGTTTTGAGTAGGCCCAGGACTGGAATAGCAGGATTATTGCAACAGGATTGAGTTGTACTTATGGAATTACCTTGTTTTCTCAATGTCGAGTTAGTCTCTGCTCTGGTACTTCTCTTGTCTTCATCACCCTGAACATGCATTAATTGTTTTAAGGCTATTGAAATACTAATAAAAAGTAAACCCCTCCCTCCCTTTATTTGCACATTTGACTGATACAGGAAAAAAGTGTTCTTTTGTTTTTACAGTATTAAGTAAACAGTGAAAAACTTTGTCTCTTCATAGTCTGATATATGAAGTCCGAGTTTGCTGAATACTGCAAATAGCACAGCTGTTTACTTTACATCGCATAACACTGTAGTTGTGGGGTGAAAATGCAGAATAATAGTGGTGACCCCCTCATCCCCAGGTCTTCAAAGTTGTTCTTTTCCGTAAGTCTGTTCTAGTATCCTGAGGTTCTTCATCTTCCACTCATAATCTACTTTAATGTTCCTCCCCTCCTGGCTCCGGCTTTGGCAAAGATAGGAATAACATCTGTGCAGAAAGTAAACAATATGGAACAGCACACTCCCTGCAGGGCTTGCATCTTGCAGTGCTCCTATCTTAAGCTGTCTTGAGGACTCTTAAACTGGATTATTAGAGTTGCTTTGGCCGGCCCGAATATCAATGCGAAGTAGAGTAAGCAGCCTGGAGTGGTATTTATTTTCATGATCCTGAGCAAAATCAGTGTTCTGACTTTACTTTTAAAGCTTCAAGAACCTGATGGTGGTCATTGGCACTGGTATTGTCTACAGTCTTGTTGTCCAGATAGTGTGGTATAGTCCATGTCCTGTTTTGCTCTGCCTGTTGGTCTCCATGGCAGCCGTTTGATTTCCTGTAGATGTGACCTAGCTTAGAGAGTTGTGTTGTTTGTGAGATTCAATTTGGGGCTTGGTGTTTGGGGACATCTATTTCACAAGAGCATGTTTTGTTGTGTAACCTTTATTGTCTTTGGCTGGAGGGTTGTAAAAAAATCTACAGGTGTTGTGCATTGTTTGAAGTCCCTATAAAAAAAATGTAGATTTCCAGTTTACCTCTCTTGCATGTTGCGATTTTTGTTTTACTCCTCCACCCCCAATTTTTAAGGGGTAGAGGATCTGCAGCAATTCTTCAGTCTTGTTTGCACTAGGGCTGTGGTGATGGCAAATTGTTTATAATCAGACAGCAGGTGTCCATGCTTATGTGTGTTTTTAGTGGGTGGATGTTTGTAGTGCTAGCAATACTTTTGCGAGGCACCCATTGCTGAATGGCCAATAATCTCATTGGCAGGGAGAAAGTAACGTTGCAGTTACCTGCACTGGATTTACCATCATAATAGCTTCTAGCTTATTGTGCTGTTAGCTCAGCTCCTCTTAAATGCATTGCTATGTTTTTACATGCAAATGCATTTGTAATTAGGGATGGTTTTTCTAAGTCTGATGTAAACGGTTTTAACTGCTCTGTAATTCTAAGTAAGTCTTTCCTTTTTTTTCTTTCTTATTCCCTGAATAACAGACAAATGTACTGAATTCTAGTAGTTCAGGAGAACTTGGCCACAGTCAGCAACACAGGGTGAATGAACTTTGCGATCATGGGCATGGGGCATAGGCCGGGCCAAACTTCTGTTCTTCTCCGCTGCATTTTTTCCGAAGTGCAGTGAAAGCCTTATCCAGAGCACACTCTGCCTGTGATTACATGCATCGGTTGTGTTCTTTATTTCCTTCCTCATAGCATCCTCCACATTTGTTACGATAATGGCACTCGTGTGATCCACCACAAATTCATCAACGGTAGAGAGGAAGGGGGGACAAAGGTACATACAACTACTTTATTCCAGTGGCTACTGGTGGTGTCTTTGGCAGTAGTGTGGGGGCTTAAGGTGTTACTGTACTTTTCCTTAACTATATGCCATTAGGCAGGAAATACTCGGCTGTTCTGCACAGGAAGATTTCCAAGGAAGATAGCCAAGGACTTTCCAGTCCTTCTCCTGTTCCTTATTAGTTAACTCATAACAAAAAATATCTCTTTGGTGAAATGGCTGTAGTGGAAATGTAGTATTGTGTGAGAGAGTGTGATGGTCAGCCTGGTTAGTTTTTGTGAACATGGGTCTCTGCCGTGAAAGTAGCCTAAGCATAAGAAATTATGTTTTGCCAGCATGCTATAAAACAGGAACTGTCAAGAAAGGGGGCAATGGTTGCCATGCCTGTGAGACTGAGGTCTCCAGAAGCATGATGTGCTCAGAGAATGGCCTTAGTAACTGTGCTGTGAGGAAATTTAGAAAGCCTGTGTGCCTCACAGTGCAGGCTGAAGTAGCTGGGGAGCATAGCAATGTGTTTTTGCCAAATCTCTTCCTCAGCATCTCCGTCTTCCGGGCACAAAACCTGGTAGAACTGAGCACAGAGAAGCAGCTTACCACGATGTTCATGCAGCCTTCCTATTGTAAATCTAATATACTTTGAGGGCTGCACATGAAAAGCTTCCAGCCTTTATCCCTAATGCACTTACTGAGCGTGTCTGGTGGGGGTTGCTGAGCTTTCATCAAGTAATGCAGGAAGAGGAACTTGGAGCATCACTGGTCTTCACCCACTGAAGGGTCTCATTTTCCTGTGCCAGAACCTTGTGCAATCACATAAAGAGTAAGCTCTTCAGTCAAGACTGGCCACAGTCCAAATTTCACCTCTGTGTTACGTGCAGGAAGGGCTCAGTAGTCCCCACCAAGCATCATCTGTGAGCAAGCAGAAATTAAATTGGGGGAAGGGCAGGAGAGGACAAATTATGTATGTTTGGTTCCCACATCTTTTGGACTTCCTTACTTCCCCCAACTTTGGTCCAAATTAGACACAAATTGATGAATTGATTAGTGTATTTTGCAGACCTGGTCTTTCTACTCGGATGTCTAGAGGCAGAGAAGGCAGAAAAAGCATAATACATCCCCCCTGCCCCGTAGGAAGATGTTACATTAAACCTAGCAAGCTAATAGATTTGGGTATTTATTTCTTTAATAGGGCAAGTGCTATTGTTTTTGTGACCTCACTTTCAAAATGAGAAATTGAGAGAGGTAAGTTTTGCACAGAAGTCCTTGTGAAATCTACAGAGCGTTTATGTGGAGACAACGTGTATCTGGTCTGGTGTCTTGGTGCCTTGACTCTCTACAGCCTTGACCACTCAGTGAATCTGCTTCTCCTTTCCAAATAATAGTTTGCTGCTGGCTTTGGAAACGAAGACTTAGGTTTCTGGTTTCAGAATTTCTAGGATCGGTCCACAGGAACGTTGCAGTAGGGTTTTCAGATACTCCCACAAGCGGATTGTGACTCTGAGCTACTACTGTATGTGCGTTTAGATTTGGCTGGTGACTTTCTCTTCCTCAGCCTTTCATACTCGTTACTGTTAGGATTTCCTTTTTCAGGTGCTTAGATGGATCAAAGAATGAAAATAACCGAGTACAACACTTGTCATGTTTAAGATGTTTCATATATTTTCTTTTCCTTTCTGTTTTTTAGGTTTGGAAGGCGTTTTGAATCCCCTCTTTTGTGGCAAAGCATTATCATGATCATTACTATGTTACTGATGCTGAAACTGTGCACTGAAGTACGTGTGTCCAACGAACTAAACATAAAACGCCGCTCTTTTGCAGGTTAGTGACAGGAACTGGCTTTTGCAGGATAAATCTTTTTGAAAGCCTGGTGTGCTGTATTTTGGACAAAGGTTCTGTCTGAATTGCAATCCAGTCTCCTTTCTTGGTAATTCAGTGTAGTGATTCCTGAACTTCTTTTTTGAAACTTTTTTTCCCAGATAAATATGTAAAGTTGTAGTTTTATTTCAAATGAGTCTTGGTTCAGTGTAGAAATCAGAATTCTCCTTAATATTTCACCTCACACCCTGAATATAGAGCTGGCTGTTATGCTGTTGTGCTAGTCTGGATTTTTTTTTTTTTAAAGATCTTGGCCAGATTAAGAAGTTATTTTCTTCAGCTGTGCTTTTTACAAGGTATCTTAGGTATGATTGTACACTGTTACCTGAAATTTTATTTTGCAACTGCAAACACTTTTGTACCTAATTTGTTTTCTAGTTACCGAGTTATTGGCTGTCAAAATAGGAGGTGCTGTCATATCATAGTTGCAAAACTATATCTTTTGGTATACCATTTCCTTGGGCTTTAGTGTGGGATTAGTTGGGATTTATGGGAATTTTCACATATCTTTTATTTTGGTTATTTGTTAACTTTTAGGCATTGATAATTTCAGTCGGGGCCAGAGTATTATCCTTTATGTAATGAAATGTTCAAACTTTGTGGAAAGTCCTTGCTTTTTTTTACAGATAAGAAATGTGAGAGGGGTAGCTTTTGTGTTTCTCTCTCGACTTTGACGTACACCATTTTATGTTACAGCTTATTACCAACAAGAACTGAATTAATGCTGTCAGCTTTTTGTCAGTTGTTTTGCCAATACGGATGTATAATTTATTCTCTCCATCTGTTCTCTTCCTTCACTCCCTAATAATTGAGGATCTGATCCAGTTCCAGATATCCACAGCCATCATTAGAAGGCAGCAGCTACTGGCTGTGCAGTAGGGTAATTTATCTAATAGCTGAGGAAGCTACTTCCATTCCCGCTCATTGCGGAGTGTAGTGTGAAGCTATTCAGGTAAGTGAATTCACGTGGAAGAGGAGCTGCACTCCAGCTCCCAAACACAAGCTGCTGTGTTCACAAGGGTTGTTAGTCTGGCAGGACGAATGCCTTAAAAACTACTTTCAGCCAGATTTAGCAGCAGTTAAAATCAAGGAAGCATTTGTGAGAGGCATGTATGCTTTCTCCCTCCTTTGCTGTCTGTGCTAGCATTTTGTGAAGTGGCAGAAAGGTTTCTCTGTTTGCCTTTTCTGAGGGGAAGTTATCCTTGTGCAGAGTTACACACACACATGCACTCTTGTAAGCTCCTTCAGTGACCTTTGGACGAAAAGGGAGGTTATTCAGTTTAATATATAGCCCTCTTTAAACAACTCTCCCTGAAAGACACAGAGTCTCCCAAAGGATAATCAGTCTTCTCCTTACCAGGTAATGGAAACTCTTCAAGGCTGTGTTGTGTTATTTGATCCTTTTTCCTGAAACTCAGCTTGTCATGTGTTTAATTAGCTAGGGAGACTGATTTTTACCTATTTGTGGACCTTAATTGTTTATTTTCCTTGAAAGGCTTGCATCCTCACACAGATTTTGAGAACAGCTAAAATATTTTTCTTACCTGTGGTTGATTTTTAGTAAGGCCAACTGTGATGTGATGGCTCAGAATAAATACACAAATGCATACAAAGCTCCTTTCAAGCGAGGCAGAAAGATAGATTTGTATTTCAAGCACAAGATGAGTAGCAGTGAGATCCGTATTTCTAATCCTACTCCTAATCTTACCTCTTAAGTTTTATGGAGATCCAGGCAAGCTGATAAATCTGTGTACTTACTTTCTTTCCTCATAGCTTACTGGGGCAGTGAGAAACTAGGTTTGAAGTCAGTGTTCTTGATTAACGTTGCAGAATCCTGCAGGGAAGGGGCACAATTTCTGTATGATAATATAATTTATTATTTCTCACATGGCTAGTCTTCAATTTAAACATTTTTCTTTAATTTCTATCCTCCCTCTGAATGTTTCTGCAAAATAATCCAAAATATTTTGAAAGTGAATAGACCAGAATATTTCAGTGGAAGGGATTTTGCTGTTTTCTTGTATTACTATTAAATGTGGTATTCCCCCCGCCACCTCACATTAGTGTATGTTTACCAGTGTGTTTTGAATTATATGGGAGTTGCCTTTTTTCCCTTTTGTTTTTATTATTCTCACAGATAAGGTCTCTTAAGTAATAACTAGTTCAGAAGGAATATCCTTGAAATTTCTTGAAGCATTGAGGAGCAGTCTCTCCTAATCCTGACAAACTTGTTCTGTATTCTCTGGCCTGTTTTGTGGTGTTACTGGGTTAAAACACATATTACTAGGAATTCAGAACATAGACATAAATCCATCCAGGTGAAATGCTTGTACTTTTCATTTACAGGGTAACAATCATAGTATGAAAAACAGAGTCTTCCTGGACTCTTTCCAGTAATGTTTGATTATTTCTTGCAGGGTCTATATAAAGAACTTAGTAGGAAACTTGCATAATAGAATCACAGAACAGTTTGGGTTGGAAGGGACCTTTTAAAGTTCATATAGTCCAACCCCCCTGCAATGAGCACGGACATCCTCAACTAGATCAGGTTGCTCAGAGCCCCATCCAACCTGACCTGGAATGTTTCCAGGGATGGGGCATCTACCACCTCTCTGGGCAACCTGTGCCAGTGTTTCACCACCCTCATTGTGAAAAATTTCTTCCTTACATCTAGTCTAAATCTGCCCTCTTTCAGTTTAAAACTGTTACCCCTTGTCCTGTCGCAACAGGCCCTGCTAAAAAGTCTGTCCCCATTTTTCCTATAGGCCCCCTTTAAGTACTGGAAGGCTGCCATAAGGTCTCCCTGGAGCCTTCTCCAGGCTGAATCCAAAAGGGCCCCCTTAAATCCCGGAACCCCTGCCATAAGGTCTCCCTGGAGCCTTCTCCAGGCTGAACAACCCCAACTCTCTCAGCCTGTCCTCATAGGAGAGATGTTTCATCCCTCTGGTCAATGTTGTGGCCCTCCTCTGGACCCTGTCCAACAGGTCCATGTCTTTCCTGTGCTGAGGGCTCCAGAGCTGGATGCAGGGCTCCAGCTGGGGTCTCACCAGGGTGGAGTAGAGGGACAGAATCACCTCCCTCAGCCTGCTGGCCACACTTGTGATGCAGTCCAGGATATGGTTGGCTGCCTGGCCTGCGAGTGCACGTTACTGGTTCATGTACAGCTTCTCATGCACCAGTACCCCAAGTCTTTCTCGGCAGGCTCGATCCCTTCATCCCTCAGCCTGTCTTGATACCAGGGATTGTCCTGACACAGGCACAGGACCCTGCACTTGGCCTTGTTGAACCTCATGACATTCACATGGGCCCAATCCTTGAGCTTGTCCAGGTCCCTTTGGATGGCATCCTGTCCCTCAGGTCTGTCAACTGCACCACTCAGCTTGGTGTCATCTGCAGACTTGCTGAGGGTCCACTCGATCCATGTCATTGATGAAGATATTAAACAGTACAGAAGATAGTAAACAGTACTTTTCTCTCAGTTACTTCTCAATTATGGGAGTCTCTTACTCTTGCAAAGTGAAAGTAAGTTGAAAGTGGCAGAGCCTATCTTGTGCTGCTGCTGACTTCTCTGACTTTTTGTTCTGGGTACATAAACTTTATTCTTCAGTTACATGTACTGATTGAAGAAAGGGTAAGTCCTCTTTATATATCCAGTCTTTTTTTTTTTTTTTAAAGTTGGACTGTATAGCCTGTTTTTAACTGTTCTGAATTGGAAAAGAAATCCCCCAGACAAGCAAAGAAAGCAAGCAACAAAAAACCCTGACTTTGTTTTAAAACTTCCAATGATAGGACGCTTCTCTTTCCTGAATATGAATACTTTGAAAGCTATGTGAAGGAGTCTTCAGATGAAATCGGCATGCATGAACAATACCTCCTCATCTTTCAACCTTTATTTAACACCACTTTAGTTGCATCTTGACTGCTTTAATGCAGATCTCCTGGTACTATTGTTGTGGTAACAATAGCTCTCCTTATTCATTGCCCACTTTTAAACTGGTGTCTGTGCAGCTGTATGTATGCTGTGTTGTTGGCTCAGTACAGGAAGGCTCAAGGTTCAGTGATAGTTTCTTTTGTTATAGTTGGTTTTGTTCAAAGCGCTGTATTATTTCTGGGGCGTGATGGTGCTACCATGCATGCGTGTGCCATGGCTTGACTTGAGAATCAAGAGGAGGCTGAAGCAAGGTGCTCAGAGATACAGACAGCTAAAAATAATTGGGTTGCTTTTAAAAATGTTGGCAGGCCAGAGCAATCTCTTCATATTCTTGGAGAGATGGACACTCTACAAAGAATCTCCTTTTTCTTTCCCCAAATAACCTTTCCACCTCTTTCCAACAAAGATTCCATTTCAGTTATGCCCAACACATCAAGACATTGTGACAGATTTCAAGCACCCTGATTGTATGAACTATACTGAAAACCAGTGGATGGCATTTGTTAAAAATGGGTTCTTAGATGTCTCTTCTTATTGTAGTACAGCCCAGGCTCCTTAAGTAGAACACAGGCTCTTGAGTTCTTACATGAAGATGATTTCCTCTGGTCATTCATCCAGTTTTGTCTTCCTTCCAACTGCTGGTTGTCTTAACTTGCTTTATAATTTGTGTCTTATTATAGCACCCTTGAAGAGCTCTGTTTTTGGCACTGGGAAGCACTCTTGCATAATACATGGTTTTCAACTATCAGAAGAATGCTAGAGTGAAAAAATTTAGCATGCAGAATGGTTGCAGATGGGATCTACTCTGCCCATCTTGATAGGACTGGCTTAAGCTCAGGCTTTTTGAAACTGTTTTAGAACAGTGTTTTCCACAGGAGGCAAGACAACTGTATTGTCTTAGCTGATTATATTTACATATCTAAACACTCAGTGTTGCTGAGGTAACAACTTGTTTTCTCTGATCATGAAAATTATATAAAGTAAGAGTTAAGCTGCCTGTTTCACTGTTTTTAAGCCTTTATTTTCTCCCCCTAGGTTGTGCATTGAGACGGTTCTGGGATTTCCTGCTGCTTGACCCTATCTTAACATTATGGGGTGGGAGCCTTACAGAAAGCATGGAGGCTAAAATTTCTGGCATGTTTTGTTTTGGCTATGATTTTTTTAATATGCAAAGTGTACTAACTGACTAAACTGTAACTAAAAGACCCACTGTTGCATTTAATCATAAAAGTCTGTTTGTCTTTCCTTCCTTCTCCCCCCGCCCCCAACTGTTTTTTATGTAGCTGCAGATAGTAAGGATGAAGAAATCAAAGCACCTCCCAAGAGATCCTATCTGGGTATGTACTGTACAAACCCATTCTGCATGAGGTTGTCTTCTCAACTACATGTTTCATGCTTCACTACTTTTTGTAACCATTTTTAGAAATGACTGCATGATCATTTCTATAGAGAATGTTTGCATTACCTTTTCTTGAGAGACTAAAACCTGGTGCATGATTTTTTTTTTAATTTTCCTCTCCCCACTTTTAACTTTCATAGAGGAAAAGATGCTTTCATCTCTGTTTCAGAAACCAGGTTTTCGAAGATGGTTGAATTCACCACATTGTGTGTCTCAGTGGTATCTTCCTTTTTCCTTCTCCAAGCTAGAGAAGCAAAATATTGTATGATACAGGGATCCATCTCCTCAGAGCCATATTCATCCTCTTCCAGCTCTGACTCTGGAGGAAACTGTGAAAAATAAAGGAGTATCTTTCAACATTGTTCAGAATGCTAGATAAGAAATTTCCCTCAACACTTGATATTCAAGTAAAATGCCTTCATCCTTGTGAGATTTCTGTCTTGTTCCTCTCTTTCATTAGAGCAGCCTCAGAATTGTTATTTGTGAATTAGTAACATTTAATGTGAGAGCTTCCAGTCTTCAGTTTCAGAATTGGAATCTATGTTCTTTAGTTTTCCCAAGGAAGAGGAAATATTAGGTGCAACCAGCTTTGTAGTATTTTAAATTCTTAGTAGTTTGGAAAGACAGTTTTCGTCAAGTAATGGGAATTTTGTTTTAAATTAGTTGGAGTATTACATTAAGGAAGTTACACCAACTAGAGACACAGAAGTTCTCCAGAGTCAACTTCTAGACTGATATTAATTGAACTGATTCAGAATCTCACATTGATACTAGTTATGAATTCTTGAGTTAGTAAGGGGTCAACTGAAGAAATACAGGGTAAAGAAGAATATTACTGGTGCAAAAGGAGAGTGTCTACTTTTATATTTGTCAACACACACAGTTAATTAAACTACAGTTAGCTCTAAGAAACACTAACAGAGAGTAATATTAACCTGAGTGCTTTCTTGAAGCTGTAAGACCAT